CGTACGTAGAGGTTACATAAAGGCGTGCGGTCCTCAGAGGGATAGAAGTATACGCATGTGTGTTTCTTACAGCCATGACCGCCGTGATATCAGTGAAGGAGTCCAGAGCCGGAGAGGCCAGAACATCAGAGTACAGCAGCACCAGCTCTCTGTGGACAAACACACACAGTTTACTGAAGGCCACAGCAATCCAGTGACACAGGAAACACTGCGCACACATCACATTTTGTTCACCTCACATCTTTGAAGAAACACTTTAAACTCTTCATCTGTCCTCCCATTGAAAAGATATTTTTCGTATGTTTAAACCGACTGTGATTAAATCTCGTAGTTAAAAGTGTGTAAACTGACACAAAGATTAAGGACGCGTGGTCAAGAATCGCTGGTGTCAGTTTGTAACGCTCTGGGGGAAGAAGCCCTGTAGGGTCATTTATGAACGGTAAGGGTAGGAGTCAGAGGAAGGAGGTGGTTCGGGGTGGAAGGTGGGGCCAGGAGATTGGTGTCCGTTTCCCGTATGAAACAAAAAGTCAACATTTAATGGTTTTATTTAAGTTACGTACACCAACCCCAACACCATAGTTATTCTTGCTAATGTAATCAAAAAACGACGCTACCCAGGGCGATAAAAATCAACGCCAAGCAGCCTTGACCAAGCGTCCTGTGTGACGAGTTTGGGGTGAGAATGTGTTGGACTGACAGCTTTCAGGAGTGACCGACTGTGATAAACTGTGATGTTAAAGTGGGCGACACCTGCAGGTCTTGATCTGTTTGCTCCTCAGCTCCTCGTCCTCCTGCAGGGTCAGAGTGATGCAGCACAGCTTCTTCAGGTCTGGGAGCCCGAGGAAAAACAACGACTGCTGGACTCCTACGTTCATCCTGCACACACAGCTTATTCCAGCTGATGGATAACCAGCGCTGGATGAAATATTCAGAGCCTTTATTTAAGTGAAAATACTAATACTACACTATGAAAATACTCTGTCACAAGTAAAAGACATACTGGATTGAAAATTACTGCAATAAAAATATAATCAATATTGAAGCAGCTCATTTTGAACTGATTATTTTCATCCTGGATCAATCTGCTGCTTATTTTCTCCATTTATCAACTGATTGCAATAAAATAGTGATAACTGTCTTCACAGTGCTTTTGTTTTTGTACGACCAACAGTCCAAATCTCAACATTATTAACAAACATTACAATTATTATAATTATTCAAAGGAAAAGCAGAAAATCTTCACATTTGTGAAGCTGGAATCATTAAATGTTTTTGCATGAAAAATTACATTAAACAATCAAAATAGCAGCCAATTAATTTTCTCACCCAACTAATCATTTCATCTGTACCTGTATAAACTCTTCATATGTTTTGTGTGTGTATAAATCTTAATTTGTAAAGTAACTGAGGCTGTCGGATAGATGTAGTGAAGTAAAAAGTGAAATATCTCCCTCGGAGATGTGGTGGAGTAGAAGGAAGTGGCATGAAAAGAAAACACTCAGGAGCACAGATACCTCAAATTTGTACTTCAGTATAGTAATTGAGTAAATGTACCTTTTTACTGTGGTTAACACAACAAAGTGACCAGTATCAGACTGTATTGCTCTATATGAAAGATATTCTCATCACAACATGTGTTAAACGATAATTCAATCAATTCATCTGTTGTCACTTATGGAGTATAAATAATATTATCTGGTGACTAACTTTTTAAATATAAAAGATTAGTACTGAAACAATTGAGTCAATGAATCCATGAACCAAACGACCGAACTGTTTTAATAATCACTTAATTAATAATTTATTAATTTATCAAGCAGAAATATAAAATATTCTCAAGATTCAAGATCCTTTTACATGTGGTAATGCTCTTTGTGTGTTGTTGTATACATTTGTAAACTAAATATATTTGGGTTTTGGACAAAATAAATCCTAACTGACAGATAAAAATAACTATTATCCACAATGAATGATTGTTAATTAATTTATGATCACTTTAATCTCCGGTATTAACTTATAAGGGACAGTAAAACATTTTAACACCTTACAGACTAAAAGAAAACATCGAAAACATAATCAATAATACAAATATTATTAATTTAAAGCCCTTGAATCTGTCTCACTCACCTCTTCGTATCTCCTTCACCCCGAAAACAAAGCTGCCCACTTGGCAGTTAGCTAAAACAAGCTAAGGCTACAGCTAGCTAAGTTGGCTAATTAACCTAGCTACTTTTTAGCGTTTTTATTTTCAGTTTTACATTGATATCTCGGTCACCAACTTTATATTTATACTTAAACTACACTGTGATAGTAGTGGTCAAATGAGGAAAATCTTGGTTTTGTGAGAAAATAGGCAATTTTATAAAATAAGAAGCTTTGGGGACAAAAAAAAAAAAAAAAGGAGTCGTCTTAGCCAAAGATGGTTAAAATGGCGAAAAGGAGGAGCTCTCACTCTGCTTACTTGTAGTAAAATAAAAACATTCTAGCCTTATGTCATAATAATATAATCTACCTAAATTTACTATTGAGGACACAGAGTTTAAGTCTATATTCTTATTTTTTATTTAGATTTAATTGCACGTTAATTTCTATCATTTTAAGCTAACGTTACACTTTATGTGTAATGTGAGATGCCATATTTGTTTCACCCTTGAGAGGCTTTAATTTTGACCAAGAGACGATGCATTAAGATGAATATTTAATTTTTAATATTTATTTAGACAATAGCCTTCCATTCTGGCTGATATTCAAGACAGACTTAATTCAGGAGACTTCATTAATTGAGTTTATTGTAATGTTGTTTATTTTCTTTTTACTGTGGAGTGATGAGGTGTAGCAATAGACCATCTTTGTCAGGTTTTCCCGCCACAGAAGTAAAAATAGAGCTTTTTCTACGCAATGTCTCGACTTATCTCACCATTTAACATGTTTCACGGGTCCACTGGGTGTTGAGGATAAACCAGGACCTCCGGCTGCCCGCTGAAACGCACCCTGCGTGAGATAAAACACTCATTGCGTGAGATAAAACACTCATTGCGTGAGATAACGCTCCCCGCAGGCCCTCGCGTGAGAAGCAGTTTCCTTGAGGGTTTCTGAACTCGTGAACTTTAGCCTGGTCCCGCCCACAGCTCACTGATGACTGACAGGGCGACGGCCAATCAGGGGCTCCCGTGGAAGGACGAGATTGGCCAATAGCAGCGCTAGAAGGACAGCGGGGGCGGCGCCAGTCAACTTCCAGGGAACTTTGAGGCTCCGTGAGGCGGTCAGTGCAATTTAACCGGAAACCAATTTTTCAAAGTAAAATCAAGGTGTGTCAAAGTGCAGACTGGTGTTTAGAGCTTTGTTTTTTATTAGTTCTTCAATGTTTAAATGTAGGATTCAGCTGAATAGTTAAATTAATTAAATATAAAATAATTACACAACTCCACAACTAGAGTTATCATTTTTTTTAATACTGTATACCGCATTTATAAACATTTATTATTATATTTTTATACTTATGTTCTCTTCTTAATAATTTCTATTATTATTCCTATTCCTTTTAAGCCATGCGAGTATCTGTAACAAAGAATTTCCCCTATTCTGAGTTTTCTGAGATTCTGATAAAGCTGTTATTTCTTGATAACACTACACACTTAACCTTGACCTTAACCGTAACGCATTTTCAATCCCCACGTTTTAACTCTCAGGCAATTATTTTAAATTATGGTCATATAAAGTTTCTGAAAGGTGTTCGTATATTGTCTTTTGAGCCAATCAGAGCTAATCTTCCTCCGAAATATAAAACCCTGACAATACCTGACAAAGGTATTTCCAGAAAGACTCAACTCAGGCATCAAAATTGTTTCACCATTTATATTGTAAACGTGCAGCAGCACATGTCAGCATATACTCAATATTACTGAGCCTATTCAGAAAGGCATCCATGGGAACTGACATTACAACATTTTAAAATAAGCCTTACATAGTTTATTTCCATTACTTTCTATTTTTGTACACAACAGGATAGAGGAGATGTGTCATATGGATTAAAGCATTGATTAAGAATAAAGTTCTTTATTGCAAAATGGCTTTAAAACTTTTTTAGAAAGCTTTTTTGATAGAAGAGTTGCTGAGGATTCTTGAAAATACCTTCAAAACTGTATATTAAGTGTTGCAAAACTTCTTTTGCTGGGTTTCAAATAACATCAGGTATTTACCTTTTAGTAAAAAGTGTTGCTTTGCTAAATGAATATAATGACATCCACATGCAGGAGACACAAACTGGGGCGCCGACTAGACAGTTATGTTGCAAGGGAAAGCTTTAAAAATAGGTTAATCATTTGCCACAAGGTATTTTCTTCATGCAGATTAACTCTGCACAACCTCCCACTACCTCCTAAGTTTTTTGCACTATAACTTTCATTATAAACTGATATTGCACATCTATTTTTGTGTGTGTATATACATGTGTATATATCTTTCTTTGTAGATTTAACTTACTTATTTCTTCCTTTAGTGCAACTCTTAGATGCATTGTTCTGTTTATTGCTCTCTGTCTTGTATTTTAATATTTGTGCAGGTGTCTACAATCATTTACAAGTATTATATAATGCAAGGGCCTTTGTTGAAAAGTGGTGGGGACATGAGGACTCAGATTAGGGATGTGACCATACACCGTTAATGACACTTATTAGATAATGACAATAAAGCTGAACCTTGAACTTTGAACTTTGAAATGAACTGTTGCACCAGACATTCGTGAACGAGACCTTTACTTTGAAACACACCGCGGAAGTCTCGCGTTGTAATCTCGTGGTCTTGACGGCGTGACCGATCACCCCTGAAAGTTGGGACTGTTGTTGGAAGGAACTGGGTTAAATGTCGGTGTGTTTGTGCGGAGTCACGGTGCTGACAGGCTCGGGGGGGATTATATAACCACGGACACGCTGTTTAACGACTCCAGGCGGCTTTTCTGCGGGTCTTTACTTTCACACTGTCGGAAGATCTCAGGGACACAAATGGGTGAGAAGGAAGAAAAGTGCCCCGATGGAGTCAAATACTACAGACTGTCAGAGATCGAGGAGCAGAACACTTTCAAATCAACCTGGATCATCATCAACAACAAGGTCTACGATGTCACCAAGTTTCTGGAGGAGGTGAGGAACTGCGTTAAGTTTTAGGACGTTTTATGTCAGCAGAAGCTTGCAGCAGCAAGCATGTGGAAATCTCCCACAACAGGATACAAACCAAACTGGGTGGACACACTTCCACTTACAGACACCTTTAACCAAGCCGATGTCTTGCTTTTAATAGAAAATAACTTTATTTCGTATTACATTTATGCGTGGTTCGCTGCAAAAGTGTGTGTTGCAAAATTTGACTTTATTTGACTGAAGTCTGGTGACAACATCAAAGCTTCAATTCATTGGGACAGGGTGGAGACTCTGGTTGCTGTGTGCTGGTCAGTATCACAGGGGGCCCTGGAGAGGCTGCAGGGGGATCCTCCTGCAAAAGTTAAGACCATTAAAAAAAATAAGAAGAATAATCTTTATTTAGAGAGCACTTTTCAAACACAGTGCTTTCACAAGTGCAAAGACAATAAAAGATTTTACTTAATTTTACTTGTGCATATTTGTCAAAAAAAAGATTTGATCATACCTGTTTTGAATGCTCTGCCTCAGATTTGGTAAAAGATCAATTGTTTGGCATCAAGTGTTTGTCATGTTCTGACCATAAAGAAAAGTATAAAACCACAATTAACCATCTGGTTTCCTTTAAACAGCCTTTAAACTTGAAAGAAATAATTATTTGACATTTATCCTGTTAATTATTGACATTGAATGTTTTTTTGTGATAAGATTTTTTACCATTTGGCCCAGCCAAAGTAGTAGATAAATCGATTATTCGATCAACAGGAAGTGAATCTGGTTCCAGCTCCTCAGTTTTCAGGATTTGATGTGACAGTAGACTGAATATACATGACTTAGAAATTATAACATGTTTCACCGTTTTGCGACATTTTAGAGACAAAACATGGATTGATTAAAAGAAAAAATGATCTCAAGTGTAAAGTAGGTCTGCAACAAACAATCATTTCCATTGTCGATTAATCTGTTGATTATTTACTCGAGTAATCTGATTAGTTGTTTGGTCTATAAAATGGCGACCGAAAGCGAATGTTGTAGTCAAGACCGCCCAAACCGAGACCAGGTCAAGACCAAGACCAGAGTTTATCCAGACCGAGTCAAGACCAAGACTTTAAGGGGCTGAGAGCAAGTCAAGACCCAGACCGAGGGAGGACGAGACCGAGTCAAGATCCAGACCGAGGCGGGGCGAGACCGAGTCAAGACCCAGAGCGAGGCGGGGCGAGACCGAGGCAGGGCGAGACCGAGTCAAGACCCAGAGCGAGGCGGGGCGAGACCGAGGCAGGGCGAGACCGAGTCAAGACCCAGAGCGAGGAGGGCGAGACCGAGTCAAGACCCAGAGCGAGGGAGGGCGAGACCGAGTCAAGACCCAGAGCGAGGCGGGGCGAGACCGAGGCAGGGCGAGACCGAGTCAAGACCCAGAGCGAGGAGGGCGAGACCGAGTCAAGACCCAGAGCGAGGCGGGGCGAGACCGAGGCAGGGCGAGACCGAGTCAAGACCCAGAGCGAGGGAGGGCGAGACCGAGTCAAGACCCAGAGCGAGGGAGGGCGAGACCGAGGCAGGGCGAGACCGACTCAAGACCCAGAGCGAGGGAGGGCGAGACCGACTCAAGACCCAGAGCGAGGGAGGGCGAGACCGAGTGCAGTTCAGTCACTTTTACATCCAGTCAAAGTTAGGATGTTAACAAATAAATCAGACAATGCAAAAGCTATTTATTTATAAAAAGTTATGGTCTTGAAATAAAATCCCAAGTCCTCAATGTCCGAGACTGAGACAAGACCGACTACAAATGCGGTCGAGTCCGAGACGAGACCAAGACCATCAAGAAGTGGTCGCAAGACCACGTAGTATCGGGTACTACAACACTACCCAAAGCAGAAGATGACGTTTTGTCAACAATACAAATATATTCACTTTACTGTCACAGAGGAGGAAAGAAACCAGAAAATATTCACATTAAAACGCTGGAATCAAAGACATTTACCTTTTTTTCTTTAAGAAATTAATCAAACTGATGAATCGATTATCAGAACAGTTGACGATTAATTTAATAGTTGACAGCTAATCACTACTGTGAGGAGGTTGTCAGGATGAAATGACTTGTCCATAATTCACGTTTCCTAAAAAACGAAGATTGTTATTTAAGGAAAAGACCAAATTAATATTTATCATAGATTCTTGGTGTTTGTTGAATCTCTGCTGACACATTTCCAATGTTGGCGTACGAACACTTCGAATCATTGCCTGATTACTTTGGCGAACCGTTTGGACCTTGGATCAATCACCTCGATCGAGTCAGTGCGTCAGTGACTGGTGGTTTAAAGCTGTACATGGTTCAGGGTGTGGACGTGCGTTGCCCGAGGAGCCCGTTATCACTGCTGTCGATGGACACAAACACAAAATGACGTCTCAAAGTGTTCAGAGACGTTTATTGAGCATTAATCTTGTTTATTTTGGAGCTTTTTTTGTCAGTTTCAGGCGAGTTTGGCGCTCATGGACCGGGTCGTTCCAGTTTAATGGTTCACTCGGGGGACTCTGCAGGGGCCAGGACAAACACACATCTGGGTGTCGGCGCTGTTAAAGCTGCGCGGCGGCCTTGTGTTGCTGGTAAATCATTGCCAGGACACTTTCATGAAGTTCACTCGCGGTCAGTTGGATATTTTAAGTGAACTCCTGCAGTGATTCATGTTAAGTTTACAAACTCAGAAAGAGTGAATCGGTGAAAGTCGGTAATTATTCTGACTCAGTCCCACAGACAACGTCCTGCTGCCCCAACGCTCACTAGAGCACCACGTGTGGATTCATCCGCCGCTGAAAATAGTCCCCAATAGATGCACCATTCTGTCCCGTTTTTTTAAAGATTTACATCTTCAGGAGGAACCAATGGGCTCTGAGAGCCACAGACAGGAAGTCGGACAGCAGTGAGGGACGGACTGACAGGTTTAAATGGGATTTGGTAACATTGAGAAAACAATAAGGTAAGAGGGCTGTTTCACAAAACCAAGATAGCGGATTAAGCCGGGATTTTCCAGATATCCCGGCAGAATTAAGCCGTGACTCGGTTTCAGGAAAGCAGTAGCGCATAAGCAACCATGGCGATTTATTCTGTGCAGCTAGCCCGCTCCAGACCAGGCTAACAGCCAGGCCTAGTTAACCCTTATCCTGGCTGTGCGCTTCGGGTCATTGTCACGTTGGAAGACCCGGCCTCGACCCATCTTCAATGCTCTAACTGAGGGAAGGAGGTTGTTCCCCAAAGTCTGGCAATACATGGCCCCGGTCATCCTCTCCTTAATACAGTGCAGTCGCCCTGTCCCATGTGCAGAAAAACACCCCCAAAGCATGATGCTACCACCCCCATGGCTTCACAGTAGGGATGGTGTTCTTGGGATGGTACTCATCATTCTTCTTCCTCCAAACACGGTTAGTGGAATTATGACCAAAAAGTTCTATTTTAGTCTCATCTGACCACATGACTTTCTCCCATGACTCCTCTGGATCATCCAAATGGTCATTGGCAAACTGAAGACGGGCCTTGACATGTGCTGGTTTAAGCGGGGGAACCTTGGAAACGGTGGTCCCAGCTCTTTTCAGGTCATTGACCAGCTCCTCCCGTGTAGTTCTGGGCTGATTTCTCACCTTTCTTAGGATCATTGAGACCCCACGAGGTGAGATCTTGCATGGAGCCCCAGTCCGAGGGAGATTGACAGTCATGTTTAGC